TTTTGACTTGTTTGATATATATTTTTATTGATAATTTATTAAATTCAGCTAAAAAAAAATCACCCATGTGTACTACCCGAGGTTTTTACAAAATTTCAGCCTAAAACCTTGGGGGTAGTTTATACAGAAAGGTAGTATAGTCAGTGCTCTACAGTATATAAAATTTTTTCTTTTTCTTATATATAACTTTATTTTATTTAATTATCAAAATTTGTTATAATTTTATATTCTAGTTTTTATTTTATATAATTGATCTAATAAATTTTAAGATAAAATTTCTTATTATTTTTTTATTTATGCATATAGTAATTTTACTTTAAAATCTTATCAAAAATATATTATGTTTTCATTTCTAAATTTATTTTTTATATGATTACTATTTTTAAAGTATTATTTATATTAATTACTTTATTAAATTATTAAATTTTATTATATTTTATATTTTAGACTTTATTCTTACATCTCAAAATCTGTATATTTATTTTATATTCTTAGTTTATTTTTTAAAAATGAAATTATTATATATAATATAAAATTAAATGTATCATACTTTTCTTCAATAATCAAAAAAAATTAACAAATCTTTTTATTAAAAGCATTTTATTAAATACAAAAAAGATTTTATTATACACCTTAAATTTTATTAATATATTAATAAGCAAATGTATTTTAAAAAAAGAAAAAATTTTCATTTTTGAGTTATTTTCTAAAAGAAATAATGACTTTTCTAAATATAAATATTTTTAAAATAACTGTAATTATTTTTAAAATATCTTATTATATTATTAAGACTATTATTATAATGATAAATTTTTTAGCATAAATAGATTAAAGTTAATATAAAATAATTTTTAAAGTAAAATATTATAAAAAGAGTATTTTTTTTTTAATATTTTTTTTATTGATATACTTTTATCAATTAAAAAAATATAATAAGATTATATATATTTCTTATCAAAAGTATTTAATAGTTTCAAATAATTGGTATTTTTATAACAATTAACTAAAATTCAAATCAAATTTTTCAAAAACTTTATTTGTAATATTTAATAAAATTTATATTACTAAAATCTTCTACTTATAAATTTTCTAAATTTATAATTAATAAATTGTAAGATCTCTTTTATTTTTAATTACAGTTATAATTTTTTTAAGACTTACTATTTACTTAAATATTTAAAATATTATCATTAATTTGTAATCACTTTTTCTGTAAAATTGTAATAAATTTTAGCTTATTTTTTTGTTAAAATTTATGTTTGAGTACTTTCTTTTCAAATAATCCTATAAATATTTAATTGAATTAGAATCAAAGCTTTAAATAATTTAAAAGAAAAAATATTAATTTTTTCTTTTAACTTAAGTATTATACTTGTTTTATATATAGAAACATTATTATCTTAAAAAATAAAAATAAAATTATTATTCAAATTTTCTATAAAAAAAAAAAAATAAGTTTCTAATAAATTTTTGTATATCATATCAATTATTCTTTTATCTACTATTATTAAAAAACCAAACTTATTTTTAGTAAAACAATTTATACTATTATTTTATTATTATCAAATTTTATGGTAATTTAATATTTAATGATATCAAAATTAATTAAGTCAAATTGACATTTATTATAAATTATTAATAAAATAATATGTCTGTTAAAATACAATTTAATTAGTAATTTGTCAATTCGTATTGAAGTATAATTGGATTGTTATATAAATCAAATCCAATTAGGATAATGAAATTTAAGATGTAAAATTTGTTATTTTCTATTTAAATAATTATTAAATCACATATTTTTATAAGAATTTTCACTCTAAATTTACTAACAGTTTCTATTGTTTAATCTATATAAATATGATTATTATATATTAAATATAAATTTTTTTTTTATAATAATTATTTTATAGTAATAATAAAAAATTGTATTATATAAATAAAAAAATATTATTATTAGTATTAAAATAAAAAGTGTAAATTAATATTATATATGTAAAATATAAAAAGTGTAAAATGATACTTATAAAAATAACAATAATTTATTTATATTAATATCTTATTATAAATAAATTAAATATGTAATAAATCATTTCTTAAAAAGAATTTGAATAAATCTTTAAATGAATTTATTAAAAAACAATTTATGTTTATTATCAACATTTTTTTAAGATTTATTAATAAGCGACCACTTATTAAATAAGAGTATTTAGGAATAAACGTCTATTAATATTTATTGTTCGAATGCAATTATACTAATAGATAAACTATAGCTATAAATACGGCGTCTAATTTAAATTTAAATTTTTTTTTTTTTATTTTTTTTAGAGCAAACAAACTAATCACAAAACACATTTCTGCACCGAAATTTCCGCTTTGTTACCAAAAATATCTGAGAAATAAGAATGCGATGTTGATTCCAACTTCTGAGATGATACCTATATAAAAAAGAATTTCTGATTAGGAATTCTATTTTAAATAATAATTAGATTAAAAAAATAGTATTCGACAAACCTTAGGCTTAATTGGCGAAAGTTCATTTAAAACATGCATGTCATTCTTTTCAGTAATATATAATATGTCAGATTTCTGTCCAGGAAATGATTCCTCTAAGTCATCTGAACGTCTAGGCAAGTAAGTCAATGACTCAACAACATGCTTCATTTTATGAACTCTTAAAGGATTGTTATGCCTTGGATTAAAAATCATAAGCTGGCATTCTATAATTGTTGAAAAAAAAGATTTAGATTAAAATATATACTTTATCATAAAACTATATTAATTACCTTTCAAAAATCTGTTATTCCAAGCAACCACAAAATCGGAGCTGTTTGGATCCAGAGCGACTAGTTCAACTTCTAATATATGCCTATACCAAACTGATAAATACACAATAATTTGCCAAGACGCGATATTCGATTAACTATTTAAAGTATTTATCAAATTGACATATAAGTTATATACTCACCGTCACATGTAAGTAGATTCCAAACGTAAAGAAATGTATCTGTTGTCGATACAAGAAATGGCTCGTCATTAGTGAATAAAATATGCTTCACATTTTCATTACTAGGCATACACTGTAAAGTTCGTTTAAGTTTAAATTTACAAGCGTCCCATAAAGTTATTGTGTTATTAAATGAAACTGCGAGTACAGCTCCGTCTTTAGAAACAGCAGCCATTCTTGGAATAAATTTTTTGTAGGAACCAATAAAGCCACAAGCCCAAACGGCTAAATAAAAATTTAGGTTATAGTTAAATCAAAATAAATAAGAGCAAAGGAAATGAATCTCACCTGCTACGATGGAATCATCATCGTTCGATTTATTAAGTTGCCATATTTTAAACTTTGTGTCAAGACTAGTTGTAATAAAAATTGGATCATTGTCGTTTGTGCCAGTGTGAAAACATAATGACAAAATATCTTCAGAATGAGGATAATCAATACGACAATGCTGCTGATAATTATGTGAATTTGGATCAAAATGCCAAAACTTCAAGTATAATTCAGGAGTGTTTACTCCATCATTTCTTGCATCAATCTATTATGTATTCATCGATATGAAAAATTTATTGTTAAAATAACCAATTTCATAAAATAATGGAATTTCAAATAATAAAAATTGTCAACATGAATTTACCGTTGCCATCCAATTCCCATTTTTAGAAAAACAAACGTGTTTTACAGAGTGACGAACGATTTCTTTTTCGAAAGTTCTCGATACCCTATTCGTTACCGAAATTTCGAGTTCCATTACATGTCTATCCAAGTAAACGTTGTAAAACTGAATAGTTCCAGGAAGGCCATTTAGGACGACATCATGGTTCTTAGGTTCCAAGACAAGGCCAGTGGACAACGGATTTGTACAAGACTCATTTTGCTCTAAAAATTATTGAACCAAGTTATAATTTAATAAGGTTAAATTAAAAATTTGATAATATTTTAAAAAAAAAAAATTTCACACTACGTGAGCTTACTATATTTTAACCCCTGTAAAGCCCGCTTTAATGAAAAATTAATCATGGAAATCAATTTTATTGAGTTATCCAATAAACCAACAGCATATGTAGCCTGGTCAAGGCTAATCGAGATACTGGTAATTTCGGCGCCAAGTCGAGGAACAAACATCACGTGACCATCTTCAACTCGCCAAATGCTAAGAACGGCTTCTTCTCCGCCAGATACTAAGTAATTACCTAAAATTTAATGGTGGGGTATTTTACTTTAGCAGGAAATAAAAAAAATTTTTTTTTTTTAATCTAATCAAAGAATGACAAAAACATTTACCATCACTTGAAAAAACGAGGGAATTAACTTTATGTGCATGCCAATGAAATTCAGATGTTACAGGATTTTCTAGTTGCAATTTGTCAAGACAATACCTTTATAATAAGACATTAAGGAAATTAGAAAAAAATGGCAATATTATAGGGAATGAGTTTTCATGTAAAAACGCGAAATTCTCAAATTATATACCAGTAAGTAATTTTGCCAGCAATATCACCAATAGCGATAAATCCCTTATGTGAATTAATTGCAACACAAGAAATACTCGTTGGATGAATATATCTAATAATACAGTGAAGATTTAAATATCGAAATGTAAATGAATGAAATTTCAAAAAAAAAAAAATTTCACGACATTAAAAAATCAGGTCTTACTTTGGCCATGCCTGATTTGATGTGTCATTAATCGATTTCAAATCAATTACTCGAATTGTTTGAACAAAAGTAATAACCAGAAAATCTCCATTTTCACTAATATCTAAGCCAGTACATGTACTGTTAGATTTACATATAAGAGAGCTCTGAATAATGTTTGCTTGCTTATCAAATTTGATACACAACAATGCATGCTTCTCTTGTTTATTTCGTAAGCCTGTTAATATAATCGACGCGATAAAAAGTTATGAAGCGTTTAATATGTTAAAATTTTTTCTTTTTCAAATATAATAAACTTTATATTAGTACCTGTCTTTG